ACTTTTTAGCCCTCCGGCGTTTGCTAAGAGCTTCGTTTGCTGCTCGAAGGGTGCGGACTTCAGCTGACAATAAAGTCATTTCATGTGCCAAAATCTCTGTCCCTTTAGCTAATGCAGTAACAGTAGCAAAAATGGGGGTTGGCGAGCTTCCTTGGTGCCGTGCAATGCGATTTTTAACTAGAGTAGTCTGTGAGAGAGCATCTATTGGGTTGCGAGGCGTTTGAGAAACCCAAGGATCAGCGTCTATAGAGGGGGGTCCTGTAGGTGTAGGAGTCCGCAACTTGACGTCTAGCTTTGAAATGATTACTTGCGGATCAAAGGGCACTAAACCAGCTCCGCGAAATCCAGCTTTGGCGTTTTGAGTTGTTATTGACTGGTTATAAGCTGCGTGGAAAGCTATAAAAAACTCAACCTTTGTAATATGGTTTATATGAGCCTTAATAAAGGTCTCAATTTGATGCCCATACATGCGTTTAAGAACACTAAAGCACCCAACATCAAGTGGCTGAGTTAGGTGAGACGAGTGAGGAGGTAGACAGAGAGTTATGATGTTGTTTGCTTTGCAATATTCCTGAAACGCAGCTGATTCGTGACTTTCATGCCCGTCTAAAACCAACATCCGATATGGTCCTTTTGCACGACTGCAAGTATGTTTATCGAAGTGATGAAGCCATTCTAGACCTGTCTCGTTGTTGGTCCATCCATTGCTTGTTGGTTTAATTACCCAATTATGAGGAAGGCCGCCTTCAGTATACCAACTTGAAAGGTGACATTTCCCTTGAACTACTAAAAACGGAGGGATACTCCCGCCTTCAGCATTCACACAAACAATTGCTGTAGCCCATTCCCGATTGCCAGGCTAAACTGCCTTGCCTCTGCCACGTCGATCGGCGTGTGTAACAACTAAAGCTGAGCTAATAACGCCCATCATGAAGCCCGTCTCGTCAAAGTTGTAGAAATCGCAGTCTTGGATGCCGTACTTTGCTCTCATGTTCTGCACAAGTTGAAACCACGCTCCAATAAGCTCAGGATCTTCGCACAAGGCTCTTTGAAAGTCATAAACGCGATTAAAACGCGTCTTTAACTCGGGGCGGCGTTGTATAAATCGATATGCCCACCGCGTCCCAACGTGCTTTCCCCCATGCGATTCAAGGATATAATTTGCCATATCCTCCACACTAGCAGGCCGAGGCGCAAATCCTCTTGCATCCATATCCAATATATTTCGAATAATCACTTCCTCTTCTAGCTCAGTCAATTTAAGACTATTGGCTTTGGTTTCGCGTTGAGAAGGTCGGCCAGCCATTCTATCAGTAAGCGTAGAATAAGGCACTTTATATAGTATTGATGCAGACCTGCGATTAAGTGATTTACATGTTTGAAGAGCCTCAATAGCTAGAATGATTCGCGCTTCTTGGGTTTGGATTTCCATTGGTAGTTGTGGAGGAAACGCATGTTGAAGTTCGTAGGTAGCTAAGTAGGGAAAAGTTCACGACTCGGTGACATTCACGACTCGGTGTACAACCACGTTAACGCGGGTTTCAACTTGTATGAAACATGATTCACAAATATGGGATTCACCAGGAGGACATATACAACTTTGATAAGACAGGATTTTTTAATGGGCCAAAAATATCATCTAAGATGGTTGTAACGAATGCCGAACAAAAGAGCAGACCTTGTACAACACAGCAAGGTAATAGGGAATGGATTACAGTAATTCAAGGCATTAGATCATACGGATATGCGCTACTGCCATTTATTATTGTTGTAGGGAAAAACCACCTTTTGTCTTGGTACAAAAACACTTCTTTGCTGCTAGATTGGGTTATTGCTGTTATGTCAAATGGCTGGACAACAAATGAGTGAGGGCTAGATTGGATTAAACATTTCGATTAACATAGGGCTTGTTCCGTATGATCCGAACTATGTGATTTCAAAGCTTGACATTCGACTTTGTACCCCAATGCCTACGCCAACTCTACCTGTGATCTAGGAATCTAAAACTCCATGCAATGTACTTAAGACACAATCTTAATCAACATACCTTAAGGACCAGATTGTACGACATCAGAATAGTTCACCAACTTCGCTTTTACAAAGCATTGATCAGGTTGCAAAAGGTGCAGTAAGTGCAATACACGAATTGATGTTATTGCAAGAAGAAAACACTACACTTCACAAAGCAAATGATTTACTTAGTTGACATCATCATACAAAGAAACATCGATTACAAGAAGGAGGAGCAATTACTGTCGAAGCTGTCTAAGTCTTAAAGGCTCAAAGAGAGGCCAATATACAATTACAAGCTATTTGCAAGAAAGTAGGGGTTGTACGAAGCAAACTAAGCTGCAAAGTACAGTCAAATGCCGCTAAGACGATGTTCGGTTAGCAGATATATTCAATTGTGCGATATATTTTCTTGCACTGAATCAAAACACCATATATTGTCCAATATTCAAGATAATCATCATTCTGCCTCCAATTATTGTATTATCCATCAACCAATGTGTGTTTGTTGACCTTCAGAATGCCTCGAAAGCAGCCTATTCTACTCGAACAACGCCATGCCCTTCGTGCCTGGGCTAAGAAACAACATCAAAAGCCAACTCAAAAGCAGTGTATCGAATGGTTCCTCCAGCAATATAACCACAAACTTAGCCAGTTGACAGTCTCTGAGTCTCTCAGCCATCACTTTGACAGCCTTGACGAAGCTCCTAATACCAACAGAGCATGATTACAAACTGGAACTGGCCTGAAGTCGAAAAGCTTCTTCTTACTTGGCAACTTCGAATTGAGTCGAAGAGGGTTTACAACTGGTGATCTACTTCAACAAAAGGCGCGACAAATCTGGGAACGCCTTCCACATAATGACAGCACAGTCTGCCCAGACTTCAGTGTAGGCTGGCTTCAACGATTTAAAGAACGACAAAATATCAAAGTACAAATTCAACACGGAGAAGCAGGCTCAGTTCCAGAGTCTGCAGAAGATGAAATGAAGGCATTACGAACAATTGCACGGGAATACTCGGAGGAAAATATCTATAATATGGATGAATCAGGACTCTTTTAGATGATGATGCCATCTCGAGGACTTGCTACTCAATCTCAGGCTGGATTAAAGAAGGATAAGACTCGGATCAGTCTTGTATTTTGTGTCAACGCTTCTGGAACAAATAGACTTCCAGTCTGGATCATTGGAAAGGCAAAAACACCGCGAGCTTTACGAAATGTTAGCGTTTCAATGATGGGTGGTATATGGAGATGGAATAAGAAGGCTTGGATGAATACAACTATTATGGGCGAATGGCTTGAGGCGTTCTATCAATATATTGGCACTCGAGAAGTTCTCTTTACAATGGATAACTTTACAGCACATGCTGCTGCTCTTGAGCTTTACCCCCCTCCTTCAAATATTCATATTTGTTGGCTACCAGCTAACAGTACCAGTCAATATCAGCCTCTTGATCAAGGTATCATTCAATCTTTCAAAGCTTATTATCGACGACAATGGCTTTCATATATGCTTGAAGCCTTTCACAACAATCAAAATCCTATGGATACAATGAATCTACACTTAGCTATTCGATGGATTGTACGAAGCTGGAACAACTTGGTTACAAACACAACAATCTACAACTGCTTTCGAAAATCAACACTTATTTCAATGCCAATCCCTCTTCATCTTGTATGTTCCCAGCTCTAATTACCTTGTCATAAAGCTCTCCGATTCTAAGAGGGGTAATAGTTGTCATGGCAATATCAAACTTTTTAAACTCGGAGGAAGAGAAGGATATACAAGATGGGATGGGGGAATTGGGACCAGAAGAGGTTTTAGAGGAGCACCTAGGCCAAGGCAGTACCCAAGATGATGACGAAGAGGAGGAGCAGCTAGAGCAGCCTGTATTTACTATACAGAGTGCATGTCAAGCTCTACAAGTTCTGATTGGGTTTGCTGAAGGTCAAGATGCTCTCAAGGCAGAGCATTTACGAGGGTTGGAGCGTCTAGAGTCTATTCTTGATGCTTTAGATCAGGAGAGCAGGATACAGTCACGGCTAGATGGGTGGATTATGCAAAATTCAGTATAGCGATATATCCTACAGTACGATATGATTTGTTGGCACCGAATACATCGTCTTAGCGGCATTTGACTGTAGTTGTTGTAGATTTCTATTATTATGTCAGTGTGGAGAGATTGCATTGTATTGGGCAACTAATCCTGGACTTCTTTAGCGACCTATTCTGCTGTCCACATCTGCCCCATAAAACATTTGCTTGGCACCCTATCAAAGTCTGCCACAATAGTGTAAAAAAATGGGCCTCCGCCGGTAAGGTACCTACGCTACCAGCGGAGTAGTAGTAGAGTTACAATCAACTAAAGTACTGTACCTACTTTAGTTGATTGTAACCCTAGCCCCCTTCCCTTCCCACCCCCCCTTTTAACCCCCCCCCTACCACCCCCCCTACTTACCTCCTACCCCGTTCCACCTTCCTTATCCCCACACACCCACCTTCTTTCGCTCATTTTTACCTTTTCGCCCTTTTCCCAACCCTAAACCTTCTCGCAACGACCCAGTCCATGGCCAGCCATCAAGCTCGCCCAGGTAGCCCAGACCCAATAGGAATCACGAAATAATCAAATATTAAGTAGAATAACTACCCTAGCTAAATACCTAAATACCTAATACCTAATACCTAATACCTAATACCTAAATACCTAAAATAAAATCATCATTTCCTCTCTCCCCTCAATGGTCGAGGCCGAGACGAGTGTGGCACCGCAAAATCCCACTATACTACACTACCTGTGACTACTTCTGTATCAACCAACTAAACTTTCCCTTTGACCCTCTACCTTACTACCATCCTATCCATCCTATCCATCCTATCCATCCTATCCATCCTATCCATCCTATCCATCCTATCCATCCTATCCATCCTATCCATCCTATCCATCCTATCCATCCTATCCATCCTATCCATCCTATCCATCCTATCCATCCTATCCATCCTATCCATCCTAACTTTGCCCCATCTTTTGCCCCATCTTTTGCCCATCTTTGCCCCATCTTGCCCATCTTTTGTCCATCTTATCCATATCTTCTACTCGTACGGACACGGGAGTACTACATATACAACTACATGGTACACAGATCTTACCTTCTTACACTTCCTTCCTTCTTATTTGTCCATAACATACGAAATACGAAAGAAGAAATACAAAAGAAGAAATACGAAAGAAGAAAGAAGCAACAGAAGAAGCACACGTCTTTCTTCACACTAAGTAACCAAATACACCTTCTTTCGACTCACCATTTCCACCTTTTTTAACTACCTTCCTACCTTCTTACCTTCCTACCTTCCTACCTTCCTACCTGCCTTTACTTTCCTTCCTCCTTTCTTCTTTCCACCATTCTCCCGAACCGAATATCCCTCGTCACTCTCCCTTTCCTCCACCTTCCACCGCCGATCTTCACCAATCCTCACCGATCTTCACCAATCCTCACCGATCTTCACCAATCATCACCACACAACGGCAATTATCTCAAAACTTCCCTCAAAACTCACCTCGGCTCTACTTCTCTGTTACTTCTCTGCTACTTCTCTGACTGGCTGCACATCTGCCATCGAAACAGTAAGAGAGCCGTTACGCCGTTATCTGCCGTGATCAGAAGTGGGATCCTCGAAATATAGCGCCCAACAGTCCCTCATCTTGGGATCCACACAGCCGTTTTCTCTACATGCATATATATGTATATATATTTAATTATATATACATGTAACCACACATAACACCACCCACACCAAACGGATTCGTCTCCTGTCGCTACACTCACTTCAACGGTCCTGGTGTTTCATACAGTGAGTACAACATTTTCTTTTCCCTCGGCCAAATTTCAAAGACCAGACCACGCACACAATAAAAAAGATCTGCTCAAGGAATGCCCGACATACAAATCCTGTGTCGTCGCTTGTAACCTTGCGTCATCGGGAGTCTGTATCTTCGGCCAACATATCGCCTGCGGCAGCTTCTTCCTATATGCGCGTGCGCTGGCCCCCGACTAAAACCCCCCCATCGTTGAACAAGAGAGAGCCGCAACTCGGCCACCAGACGAAGACTCAGCGCGCCAACACGACGTCTGAAGCAACTTGCTCTACAGCGTGTCCAGCACCGACTGTCGGCTTGCACGGCACTTATTCATACTATACATGCAAGGGTCATAGCTAACCTTCTCAAGCGAACGCAGAACCCCAAACGCCTAACATCCTCGACAAATCTTGCGATTTGACCCTGCACACAACTGCCGATACCGCCCACGACCATTAGCTCACCACGCAATTGCGCGGCCGGTGCGACAGACCTACAAGGAGGAGCGCTTCAGAAAAGGCGCGGCTGCGTGGCAACTTCTCAATTGGGGAAGTTGACTTCGTTTAGCCACCGGCAATCCTACACTGCGAGCTTCCGTACGGCGCTCGTAATCGAATATAATACATAGAGAAGAGGCGATACCACACGCTGGGGTAGATACCCAGCCGATATAAAGATGACGGAAACATACAGAGGGCACGTTCGGAGCCCTGCGGATGCCATAAAGCTATTTGAGGCTTGCCGACTGGGCTTATTACCCCGCGTGCAACGACGACTATCGGAGAAGGAGAGGCAATCAATAACATCTGGCTCGGTGTTCGTATGGGACGAGCGCGAAGCAGGCATGCGCCGGTGGACGGACGGAAAATCATGGAGTGCGAGCCGCGTCTCTGGCAGCTTCCTCACATACCGCGAGATGGAGGGCAAGCGCGGCGGGGGCAACTTCGTCCCTGCGCCGCGGCGACTGGGCGGGAAGACACCAGATAGTGGGCGCGGCAGCGACGAGGACGCAGATATGGACCAGGATAGCCTAGACGGATACCGTTATAAGGCAGATGGGCTACTGAAGCAGTCATTCAGCATCACGACATCTAGCGGCCAGCACCTTCACCTAATCAGCTACTTTGCGCGCCAGCACCCGAGCATCACCGATCTTCCACAGCCAACGACCGATCCGGCACTGCGACATATCGTCCCTATCAAGGGCATGTATCCCGAGTCCACAGTCCACGATCAAGCGCCACTTCCTCCCCGCCAACCCATCCAGGGATCTTATATGTCCTCGCCACAACAGATGATGCCAGGAAACGCCCCTCACGCCCGGTCGCCATACCCCTATTCCCCCGGCTACGGCGCCTGGCCACGCTCTCCAGTCCCTACCCCGCCTTACAACTACCCTCCCGCGATGTACGGCTCGCAACTCCCCCCTCCCCCACCAAACGACAGGAGTCCACACCAGTACTCCCCTCAACACCTCCCTCCACACATGCAGCACCACCCTGCACCGCAGCCATACGACCGCTCCCCTCACCATCCGCACAGCCCACACGATAGCATCGCTCCACGACACCTCTCCGCCTCCGGCCCGCCACCACAGATGAGCACCCTTGCATACGCGACAAATGCTGCCCGCGACGCCCAGCACGCTTTAGCACAGGCGCAGGCCATGCAGGCACAACAACTGGGACAGATGCACTCAGGTTCCAGGGGACCAGCCTCTGTAGATCCAAGGTTAGGGCCTAGAGTGCCACCACTCCATCACCAGCAGTCGAACGGGCACGCGCCGCCGCCTCTTCGCCGCCTCTCGTCGCCAACTGGAAGCAGGGACGGTTCGCTGGGACAGGATAGGTCGCAACAGAGGAGTCCGCTGTCGAATGGCGCGCCGCCGCAGCAGTCGAGAAGTGGAGAGGCCCAGAGCATTCCCAGCATTTCAAATATGGTGCACGGCACCCCCTCTTCCCGCCCCCCGCCCTCATCTACACCCTTATCCGCGTCCTCCTCGCAACAGCGCAGCCCCGGTGGCGCGCCCCAAAAACCGAGCACGTCGAGCAGAATGCCCGATAAGGGCGTCAGCCCCGTCAAGAACGACGACGAGGAGGCCAAGGGCGCGAATGGCATCCCCCGAGAGATCCCGCATGCTAATATCACGGGTCCTGGGTTTGGAGGGGAGGATCTGCGCGCGTTGAGGGTGCTGGATCGGAAGTTTTGTATCTGAAAGAAAGCATTTCTGCCTCCCACCTCACCGGGGTTGGGGGGGGGTTAATATTAACTCGGAGATTTTCTACCGGAGGGAGGGGTGAGGAAGTAATTAGGGGGCTATGTGACTTTGACAAAAGTTTGGGAGGAGCGCTCATTGTTATTTTTTCGTCGACAATGAACTTCTTCGCTTCGCTTTTTCGAGGGGGGATTCTGCGGTTTCCTATGAGGGCAATGCGCGAATAGGGAGACTGGAGATGGGGGAATGGACACGATACGACTGCTTTGTTAGAGGGGCCTACTCACGAACGGACCGGGAGCAGGGGGATATGGATACTTTTTTTTTTTAACGCTCGTTATTTTTCCCTAGGAGTTGGGGGCCGCAAGGCATGGCAAGGCACGGTGGAGTGAACGGATGGATGGATTGGATGGGGATGGGGATGGGCTGGGGGGCTATGGCATTTGCTCTTTCGATAACTTTTTTTTTTGGGCTTGGTTTTGGTAGTGGTTTTGGGGGTTCGCTTTGAGGCGTTTTTCGCGGTTTTTTCTACTTGCTTAGACTGTTAACGGGGGGAGAGTGGGATGGGATGGGTATATGGGTGGGCGGTGATGGTGATGGAGGAGGAGGGGAGATCAATGGTGATGGTGGTAGATCAGGTTGAATCAATCAATATTTCATGACTATCCATTGGTTTTTCTTTCTGTTGCATGGTATTTGTGTATGCGGGCATGTGTATCACGTTACTTCTAGTCATATTACAAGTATTATCTACAGTCGGCCGACCTGTTTTTAGTTGTCATATAATTTGGGCGGCACTTTGGTCATCTGTAGTAGATTTATTACCATGGATGGTTATATGTTACACCCGTCTAAAAAGGCCAATTCCCCTTTTGTCGTCCTTTCGTGATCGTAGTCTTGTCCCGTCTCCCATGCCGTAATCCACCCAAGTAGTTCCCGTGGTGGTCCTGGTAATTGTGGGTACTATGTGTGAAACTCTCTGTTTATGGGGAGAGTTCATGAAGTTCGACGCTGGGTACCACTCTGGTCCGGATCGTATCCTACCCAACTAACCTGGTATTGAAGTTGCTTTCCTTGGAATCTCACGGCAAGGACCTTTTCTACTTCCCATTCTTCCAAGCCATCTATAACTACGCTGCTAGGCCCAGGCGGCTCTTGACCCAGTAGGGGGTTATTCGGGGCCTTGATGAGAATGTCTGGTGAGAACACATCATGTATTTGAGAACCAGTAGGTAGGTCTAGACGAAAAGCGTGTCTAACTAGTTCTAGCACTGTATATGGTCGACCCATTGTTGGCCCAACTTGCGGCTAGGGCGAGAGTTCTTCAAATTTTTGTTCGATAGGTACACTCTATCTCCTACGTCCCAGTTGATGGCCCTTCGGCATCGATTCATGTGCTTAGACATTTTCTCTTGTGCCTTTGCCATATTTTCCTTTGCATGGACCCATGCAGTATGCATTCGGTCTGCAACTGCCTTGGCTTCATCTTGGTTTAGAGTCTCCCGGAGGTTGGTGCTTTTCAGGGTGTTCCAATACCAACTCGTACGCGGATCGGTTCTGTACTTGAGTCAGTAGGGGGTCATGCCAATGGATGCGTGGGGGAGTGTCATTTGCACGTGGTCCATTATGGGGATGAGTTCGCTCCAGTTATCCTGGTAATGGGATACGAAAGGCCTCAGTCTCTGATCGATGTATCGGTTCATGATTTACGTCTGTCCGTCGGTCTGCTTATGATAGGCAGTCGACAGCTTAACCTTAACACCGATAATTCGACAGAACTCCTGCCAAAAAGATGATATGAATTGGGGTCCGCGGTCGCTTACAATCGACTCTGGATGTCATACTGATATTCGTTGCACTCAGTTTGCTATCAAACTCAAGAGCAAACTTAGAAATCTCCTCCTCAAACCTACAAGTCACTATACATATTTTGGCTTGTCACACCAACAACAAGAGCAATACTACTCAACGATTGCTACAACCCTCTATGATTCATTACATGTCATTGCTCCTTAGTTACTGGGCCAATATGACCACATAGCATATCTCTATAACCCTCTATGATTCATTACATGACATCACTCCTTAGTTACTGGGCTAATACTACACATGACATATCTCTATCAACTAGAGGCCTAGGAACATGAACGATAGCTCCAAAAGCTTCTACAACCATCTATGATTCATTACACATCATCGCTCCTTAGTTACCCACAAGATTGGTTAAGTTATGACATAATCTGTCTATAGGGGTACTCTGACCTTGGACCTCCTTTCACTTCCTATAGGCTAGGAACCTAGGAGATGGTTCTATGGGATTGTCTTATGTCAACTATAGTTACCAGGCCTGGTTAGTCATGGAAAGTCTTGGAAAATGAGAGAACTACACTCCTTTAGCATAAATAGGATTGCCCTTTCCTTAAGAAAGGGCAAGCAGACAATACAGTAAATTGACTATCACATACTTCCACGTCTTTTCCAAGCTTCCAAGCATTGATCTTATTACTCCTTGTTTCTGAAAAGTCAGTGAGGTGCTAACCTCTGGCTTATCCCTGAGTTCTCAGACTCAACATTTGTTACAACTTGTCTAAACCACTCCACTACATCATACACCTGATTGCTGCATTGTGGAATAGTCTAAGCTACGACCCTTTGGCTCTGTTTCCTAAGACAGTGTGTTGTCTTAGTAAAATCATCCTTTCCTTGGGTGGCTAGATTCCCACATCTGGTGCACCCACCATTACACTGGAAGTGTGTCCGAATCAGTATATCCATTCAATGAACAATTGTGCCATTTGCCGGGCAGTTGTGGTTTTGTAGCAAGGTATGGTAACTGAACTCTTTCCAAGTCAGTCCATATACACTAAGATGCTGTCGTATCCATGCTTGTCCCTTGGGAACTCCTTGAAGTCAATGGTGAGGTGTTGCATCGGATATTCGGGTACGGGCAGCGGGTGTAGGAATCCTTGTTGCTTGGTGACATTGGTATGAGAAAGCCGACATGTCACACAATTCCTCACATAGCGCAAACAATCCGCTTCCATCCCGACCCAGTGGTACTTTGGGGCAATCAATTGATAGGTTTTCCGGCCGCTAGGATGTGCCACTGACACCTGGTCGTGCGCTTCTCGGATTAGTTTCGTACATAGCTCGGTGTGACGGTTCACACATAGCCGGCCTTTGTATAGAAGAAGCCAGCCGTTCAACGCGAACCTGTCAGGTAGGGGGTGTTTCGCACGTGTTTCTGTAAAAGACTCTCTGTTATCCTCACATAAAGCGTCTATTAAATAGAAAGGCATCTGGGGCTTGGGGATGTCCATCTAGTTAATGGATGCTATGTAGCTCTCGGCAAGTTCGGCGCTGATTCGGGGGTGCAGGTGGCTTGGACCTAACAATACCCTCGCCCTACTATCAAGCTTGACTTTCTGCTGTGTTACCAAGTCTTGGTATCTTTGGCTCAGAATATCTGCCTTCTGGTTATTCTTGCCCGCGGTGTACATAATGCAGAAGTTGAAGTCGGAGAGTAGTTCCATCCACCGAATTTGCTTCGCGGTGAGAACCTTGGTAGACATGAAATATTCTAGCGAATGGTGGTCAGTGTAGAGTCGACTCAGTGGCGCACTTAAGCCAACTCGGGCCTCCATTTTCTGAAGGCCTTTACTATTGCGAATAGTTCCTTGTCGTGGATCTCCCAGTTGATCTCGTGTCCTTACAGACTTTCTTGAGGAGCATATGATTACTACACTCTATGGGTGGCCGCCCTACTCACCCGACCTCAACCCAATTGAGCACATTTGGTGGCACTTGAAAACCCGGGTGTGTGAGATGTTCCCTGAAATTGCAAAGGATAAATCAAACTCAGAACATGCAAGACAGCGTCTAGAATCATGTTTGTAAGCAGCATGGGACACATTAGACAAGTCATTGTTCAATAAATTGTATAAGAGTATGTTGAGTAGAATTGAGGCGTGCATTCAAGCAGACGGGTGGCATACAAAATACTAGAATACTCATTTTTTATACTATATACTATAGGGGCTTATTTTGTATAGCTTTCAATTCTAATTACAATGGATCAATTTTTACATCTATCACTCTAAAATTGCATATGTTACGAGCAAATTAATTATCTACGTTCGGTGGCTTTGCGGGTGGTTTTGCGATTCGGTTAATAGCAGTGGTCGGTGACTGTATATGAATGACGTCCTGATGCAATATTTAGACGACTTCTGTACCGCATACTTAGACGACATCCTAATTTACCATCACTACTCCCTCGGAGCCTTTCCAATGGACAGACGAATGTGAGGCTGCTTTTGAGGAATTGCGCCGGCAACTCCTAGCAGTACAGGCACTTCACCACTTCAACCCCGAATTGCCTACGAAGCTGGAGACAGATTCCTCCAATGGAGTCGTAGCTGGTGTCCTCTCCCAAGAACACCCTGACAAGCGGTGGTACCCCGTAAGCTTCTACAGTCATGTCCTATCCGACATACCCGCAGTATGGATAGGAGCATTATCTTGCATAAATGAGTAGCTAGAGTCAAGACTCTCAAAAATAGGGAGGAGTTCTGCTTCTAGAACCTCAAGGTATGAGTTTGCAGTATATCCAAACTTCTTTGACTCAAAGTCACGGTATATAAGGTATAAATTGCTCCGGCCTTCTGCCCAAAAGGCCCCCCAAACCATGATCTTCATGTTCTTCTTTGTACTATAGGTTTGGATCATCTCCACCACTTCTGAGCAGGTGTGCAGAAACACCACTCGCTCCTGTAACAGAGCACTCATCACTCCACACAACTTGACCCCAATCCTCTGCTGTCCAATTCCTCCGTGCTAAACACCATGCAAGCCGTTTAGCTGCATGTATTGGCAGTAGGAAAGGGCGACACTTTGCACGCCAATTGCCTATGCCTGCTTTTTGTAGTATCCTCTTTATAGTTGATGTTGAGCAAGCAACATTACAAGCATCCTTTACTTCTTGGTATGTATCCTTTGGGTTTAGGCGTACATGGCGGAGTATAAGGCATTGCTCTGCTTCTGTATATGACTTTCCCCGTGGTGTACAGGGTAGGCTCTTGCCTTTGGTGCATATTGAGTCAACTGCAATTGTATATCGTACGTTGCTTCAGTCAAGGTTTAGGTCGTGTGCAATCTTAGTAGGTGTTGCACCCTCTGACTGCCTCCCAATAATCTGCCCGCATTGGTATGGGCTTAATTGGCCACCAGGCTGTCGATTCCCATCAATTGGAGCCAAAGCCCTCTGAGTTGGTGGCATAATTATGGTTGTTGTACAAGGAGGGGTGGGTTACGCGACGCAATTTACGCGTCAAATTGGAATTCAGTTAATAGCAGTGGTCTAGTACTGTACCGCTGATAGGTTGCGGGACCGTTCATCAGTCCAAACAGCAGCACTTTGCACTTATAGGATCCATAGCGAGTCTGAAAGGTCGTGTACTCTTCCGAGTCGGGGTGCATCCGTATGCGGTGGAAGGCTTGTCTGATATCTAGCTTAGTGAAGA